GCAGAGATTACTGATTCGTTTAGAAAGGTTAGCCAGCCTTCCCTTGATTGTTTTAGAGCATGATTGGATTATTTTAGTTATGGAGAAGAATGCTTCTTCTTATCTTCACATTTCAAGGATCACCCTTTTTCACTATGTTTTGCCGACTGGTATGTTTTTCTCACATTTGTGACTCATAATAGAAGTTGTGAATTGATACTTTATGGTGCATGACCAAAACAGGTGCAGATGTATGTTGATTCTCGCGAAAAGGTTACAGCCCGCTATCAGGTAACATTCCAAAGTGAACAAATGTCAGGTTAGCCCATTTTCATGTTATGCCAGAATCTGGTATACCGATTCCGTTACTTCATACATTTATGATGTAGTTAATCTGCCCATCGAAGAGGGAAGTTATGGTGTTTGGGAGTTTTAAGCAAACAGGCACACTTTTACCAAAAGCTCCCAAGGGCTGGGGATGGCGAACGGCTCTGCCATTTAATGAGCTTGCTGATCTTCTCCAAAACGGGGCTTTAAGAGTGGCTGCTGTTGTGCAGCTTGTATGAATTAAACAAAGGTAATTTCAGTGGTAAATTTATCCAGAACGTAATAATAACCATCCTCCTTGCTGATACATATATTTTCTTATTTTGCAGATAAAAGCCACAACCGAATAATTTGGCTTTCGACGTACGAAGGGCGATAATTGGACCTTATGATTTTTGTAGCGGTAACCAGGTGTGTGTAGTTCTCCTTGTTTGTATTTATGGATTGTCTTGCAAAGAAACATTGTATTAAGGGAAAGAAAAAGGGAAATGTTTTTTACACACCATTTTTCTCCATTTGCGTCCTCTGTTTGCTTTTGTCCGTTGATTTTCCTTTATTCGATCTAATGGTCAGAAACAAGCCTTAGGTGTGCTTTGGAGAAAAAGTTGTGTTAAAATCATATGTCCCAGAAAAATTGTCTTTATATTATTTTTCGAATGTTTGAGTAAGCAATGTGTGGTGTTGCCCTAAGTGGACTGTTCATTTTTTTTTTTTTTTTTTTTTTGTCAAATATCCCTTCCTCAACTTTTAATGAGAGGGAAATGTATTAACAATAAAGAAACAAAACACAAGGGCCCAAAAACACACTATGAGCAAAAGAAAAAACAGGACCCTTGAAACACGCAAAACAAAACCCAAAGAAAGCTTTTGGGCCTAATACAAACACACCACACAAAAGAAGAAACCCGCCGATACTCCCCAACGAGTCGAAGCCATCTCCGCCACAAGGACCTGCCATCACACCATCCCAAGTCCCAGAGTTGAGGAAGAAGAAAACCGCTCCATCCTCCACGAACCACCAAAACGATCGCAGCCATAGAACAAAGGAAGACCGCCGGAAGAGAGATCCCACAAACGACAGCGCCAACAAGGGCGGACAATGGGAGGAACATACAAGGGCCAAGGGTGGTGGTGCGAACACCCGAGCCAAAGCTCTACACACCCTCCCATGGAACAACGATGAATTGTGGTGAAAACTGGCGGAATCGAAATTAGGATTCGTGGAAAGAAAATGGAGCCAAGTGAAGATGATAGTATTTGGGAAGGGACCGAATGAGATGGATGAAACAGGTGAACGAGAGTTGAGGCTCGGGATGATGAAAACAGAGGCAAAACAGTTACCAGGAAGATGAGATCGTGGGAAGATATGGGAGGAAATGGGGCTGGGTTTATTACAAAAAACAGACGAAGAAAGAAAAAGAAGAAGACAAAGGGAAGTCAAGGGAATGCCATCGGCCTTGCCATGGCAAGAGCCGGTGGCCACGCAGAAAAACGGAAACGAAGTCACTAACACCGTGGGTAAAGGCTCTTACTAGAGCAAACGGGGCTGAATTACGGATGAGCATTTGATTTCCGAGCTTCGCGCTTCTTGAGCAGCGAAGATTCCCAATCTTTACGTTCTTTGATGCAAAAGGATACAAGTGAGTTAAGTAGCATTCTTTTCTTTAGTTGAGCTATATCTTTAATGGAAACTCTCAAAAGATATATGTCTAATTTATAAATGATGGCTATGTTGGCACTGAAAAATAAGCTCATCTTTAAAGGAGTTGGCAAAAGTTTTAGTTAAAAGATGTCCTTTGCTAACTCATTTGACATTTTTATGCTATTTTAAAAGGGAATTGTTATTAGCACTTCAAAAATCTCATTCTACATTTCAAACTTTCTATATTTGGAAAGAAAAATACACCACTTGTGAGGAGTGTAGAATGAAAATTTTGAAGTACCAATAACACTTTTCTTTTAAAATATTAATATCCTAACTTTATCTTGTTAGGTCTAGATGTCACATCCCGGCCCGAGGCAGATCACTTCCCAGGTCCGCTCCACCACCGTAGCACGATATTGTCCGCTTTGGGCTTACCATTCCCTCACGGTTTTGTTTTTGGGAACTCACGAGCAACTTCCCAGTGGGTCACCCATCATGGGATTGCTCAAGCCGCCTTCTCGCTTAACTTCGGAGTTCCTACGGAACCCGAAGCCAGTGAGTTCCCAAAAGGCCTCGTGCTAGGTAGGGATGGGAATATACATTTAAGGATCACTCCCCTGGGCGATGTGGGATGTCACAATTAAATTGTCACATCCCGCCCTGGGGTGGATCACTTCCCGGGCCCGCTCCACCACCGTAGCACGATATTGTCCGTTTTGGGCTTACCATTCCCTCACGGTTTTGTTTTTGGGAACTCACGAGCACTCCCAGGATGGGTCCACGTGACGGCCAGCACGCCCTGATCTCGGTCGGGGTGTGCCACTAGATTTATTTTGAAACTCTTTATCAAACAATATTTATTAATAAAATATAGGGAAAACTTGATATAAGTCTAATTTTTTTAGCCAATAGTAGGAATACTCCAATTTATTAAAATAGGTCCAATTCCTTAAATTTAATTATTTTATTATCAATAATTATCTATTCAATGATAAGATTTATTATAAAAATCAAATTTCTTCATTATTATCTCTTTGATTATTTCTTTTTTTTTTTTATTATTTCTTGTTCTACCTCCTGCTTTAAACCCCATTTATATATTTTATTTTTAATTTTTATAATCAACCTATATCACAGGTTAATTATTTTTATGTATCTATATGACAGATTCTTTTTTATAATTAATGTGTCACAAATTACTGTGTCTTGCTTATAGGTATATTATGTTTTTTCCTACCTTTTAGTTAGGTTTCATATCTCACTTGTTGGTATAATATATATTCATAAATTTGTTACTTGAGTTAATATTTTTATTCATCTATATGATAGATTCTTTTTTATAATCAACGTGTCACAAATTAATGTGTCTTGCTTATAGGTATATTATGTTTTTTACTACCTTTTAGTTATGTTTCATATCTCGCTTATAGGTATAATATATATTCATATATTTGTTACTTGAGTTAAGGTAGAATGTTTTGTAGATAATTTATGTTAGTATATTAGTTTTTGTTATTGTAAGATATTAATTAGATTTTTTGGAGTTGAAAAATGCATAATATTAGAAGATTTTTAATTGATTTTTAATATTTTAAAAAATTATAAAATGAGTATAAAAGAAATAAAAACATGTAATTAGATAACTGAACTCACTCCTAAAAACCATGTATGTTTTTGGACCTAGATCTAAAAGCCCCTAAAATATATTGCAGGTGCAGTTTGCTAACCAAAAAAGTAGCAACTGACCTTTTATTTTAGTTAGTTGCTAATGCTTCAATATGCTAATTGGGTTGTTACTTTAGTTAGAAATGCGTTTTTCTTACGTAGCATGGCAAATTTAACTTGCTACCTCCCTTAGGGGGATTTTTCTGCTAATTTTGGGCAGGGACAAGTTATGCAGCCATAAATTTGGAGTTTGTATTTTGGCTTTAATCAGTTGGTAATTAGTATGCACCTTATTTTACCAAAAAAAAACTTTTCCATAGTTAATTCATACACATTTCTTCAAGCATGCATGTTATATACTTGAGATCAATCAAGTCATAATTAGTATGAAACTAATTATTCTCTTAATTAATTAATTCTTTAGCTGTTAAGATTAGGATTACTGGTATTTTTTTAAACACTAAGAAAGTAAAAACTAGAGTAGTTAAGCATCTCTAAAAGAGATATCAAATGTTAAACATAAAATTAAATTTGACAGTCTATGTGGTACATTGACATCTTTTAAAGTTTTGCACTCTATCAGATATGTCAAATTAAACTATTATAATAAATGTTTTAAAACAAAAAACAAAACAAAAAATAAAATTCTAAACATTTAATAATCAATTAAAAAAAGATTTGAAACTGCTGTCAATTAAGACGGTGAGGATTGCCAAATTATGTCATGCCATGTCAGATTTGGCATTTTGGTTGAAAAACATTGTTGCTGTCCTTTTCGACTGTTAGTACTGATTTGAACATTTTGACATTTCTCTTAGAGATGCTCTAAAACTTTATGTATAGGGATGAATTGTCTTCTTTTTTTACCGTAGAATAAAGTAGAGTAGATTAACAATGAATATCGATGTCACTTAGTACTACGGTCCAGTAGTATTTTTCTTCACTTGTGAGTGAGATGTCTTAGATTTAGTTCTCGCCAATGACGAATTTGAACCATATTATTACTAGCTTATTGTAGTGTTAAGCATACCCCTCCTTTTTAGTTTAAATAAACTCCTTTTAATATAAATAATATCTTTTGTTAAAAAAAAAAACGTAAAATATCGATTGCGCTCAAATGAGAGAAAAAATAAAAGGAAACTAATGAAAAGAATTTATGATAAGAACAAAATAAAGGGTAAAATAAATGGTACCAGGATTGACTTTTTAGTATAAAAATGTAATTTTTCATTAAAGTAAACAGTACGCTTTTCGTTAAAACTCTAAAAAAAAAAAAAAAAACCTTATTTATTATTATTTTCTTCTTTTTTCTTCTCTTCCAACGAACCGCGAAAGCCGAAGCGTTTGTTAAACCCGCATCAATGCAGATCCCAACTCAATTTGCATCAAAATTAAAATTAGTCTCCAACTAAATTCCAAATATTCAAATAAAAAAATTGGTCTCCCCACTTCCGTTCAAGTGAACACTCTGTCTTGTCTCCACTGATTCTCTGGTGCGTTTCTAGGGTTTTGTTCCCTTCAAATCTCCAATAAAGACATTGTCTTCCCCCTTTTCCCCTGTTCCTTCTCTTCGCGGCTTACCCAAAACCCTAATTTTGGATTCGATTGCGTCACAGTTAGGGTTTAAGATTCGCCAGCTGATTGTTTCCCTAACATGGTTTTCGTCAGATGAGGTGTGAATTTATGGGATGTGAATTTCTAGCGTTTTTGAGCTCCGCGTCTGTCAATGGGAGCGCTAACTAGCAATCGTAAGCGAGGGGACGAGTGTTTGAGCTTCAATTGTGCGCAACCATCTCTGAATTTGCCGAATTTTCAAAGCTCGAAGCGTCACAGATTGTCTCATATGAATCAGAGCCCGAACCGACTCATTATCTCGTCTAAAAGCCCCGGTTCAAGGCTCTCTCGGTACCCTGATATAAAGCCGCCGTTGCCTAGAGTTCACGCCCCTTGCAGAACACAAAAATTCGGGTCCTTTCGCGATTCGAGTTCGAAATCCAGAGGGGTTCCTGAGGGGCGGTCGTGTGACATAATGGGCAATATACTGAGTTACCATTTGGACAAGGCAAAGAGCGATGCCTTCGGTGCATTTCGGTATTCAAGCAAGGACAAGGAGGTCATTGAATTGGATAAGAAGGTTGAAGATGACCGGGTTTCTGAGGATTCGAGCATAGAAGAAGTTGTGGCTATAAAGGAAGATGACCAAGAAGGGCCTTCTGTGGTCGATTATGGGCAGGATTTGGAGACGAAGATGGTTGATTGTGGAACTCAGGTTACCCATCCATCGGCTTCTTCAGTGGTTCCAGACTTGCCCACAACTACGAACGCCCCTTTCAAAGTGGACAGTGCAGGGAAGATGTTGGACTCACTGTCGCTGAATCATGATGCAGGTGTGCCAAGTAAGGCAGCATACAAGCTGTTGATTGAGAGTGTAGAGAGGCGAACTCCGAAATTGAAACATTTGGATTCCCAGATTGACTTCCATTGGAAGAAACGGTCTATGCTTGAATCGCTGCGTCCACAAAAGAAACCCGAGGAGGTGAGTTTTTTTATCGTTTTGCATTAACTTTCTACCTGTTGTAAGCTATAAAATATCGTTTTCATTTCTTTGGTTATCTGGGTAGTTTGAAGTTGTTACAGATTCTGAAGTTAAAAAGCTTGTATCAACATGTAAGTAATGATTGGGAACGAATTATGTGCTCGAGAGTCTTCATATGCTATTCCCATTTCGTTTTAGGTTGTGCCCGTTGAACCATTTGTCCCTCTTAGAAAGGAGGAAGTGGCCCAGATTGAGCAAGCATTTTCGTCCTCCAACCGGTAGGGATTTATGCATATACATTGGTTCATTTTGAAATTGGTGTATGGTAAACTATAACAGTGTTGGCGTTCCTTCAACAGGAGGAGGGTCTTGGTAACTCATGAGAACTCGAACATAGAGATAACAGGTGAACTTCTGCAGTGCCTTAGACCACGCGCATGGTTGAATGATGAGGTATTATTAGGTTACGTGTTTACATTTTTTTATAGCAATGACAAAAATTAGTTTCATCATTAGATATTGTTTTTAATGGTTGATGGGGGGCTTACACGGGTTTGCCAAACTGGTAATTTATTTTCTTGATAACGTGCACTTTCTTCCTTTTCAGGTCATAAACGTCTACTTTGAATTGCTGAAAGAGAGGGAGAAGAGAGAACCGCAAAAGTTCTTAAAATGTCATTTCTTCAACACATTTTTCTACAAAAAGGTTTGTAATTTGCATGTACTCTTTCTTCTTCTATCTTTTACTCATGGTTCTTGGCACATATTCGTATATGCATATTCTGTTTAGTTCTCTTTTTTTTTTTTAGTCAGAAGAGTTTGGGAAATATATGTTGATATCATTTGTTTGTTGTCTAGATAAGTGCGTACTGTTATGAGTTATATAAATTCTTGTCACTCCTTGATTTATGAAACTTCCATGAGACAATTTATGTTTGGTGAAGTAGAAATGTTAATAATTTATAAAGCTCTAATTCCAGTTTATTTCAATTGGTCTCATGGTGGTGCAGTTTCATCATCTTTAGGAAAAGTCTCGTCTGAGTTGTGGCTGAGCTAAAATATTTGATTTGAAGTTCAGGATAAATCAGCCTGATATAAGCCTGACCCGATATGCCCCGGTCGTTTCTCTCATTGTTTACCTATATTACATTTTAATCAACTTTAGGCCTGAAGATTGGGCTGGTTGAGAGCAGTCATGTGCTCATTAGGCTAACCGCAGGCAAGGCCTGTCAGCTCAGCCCATTCACGCTCCTAGACTCCTAGTAATAATTTGCATAGATTGGGTACCATATTGCTGTCCAATTTAAGATATTGATTTGTTTTATATGCTCTTATTTATTGAAATTCATTGTGCAGTTGATAAGTGGGAAAGGTGGCTATGATTATAAATCTGTCAGAAGGTGGACTACCCAAAGAAAGCTGGGATACAGCCTCATTGATTGCGACAAAGTAACTTCATTCAAACCTTTTGCCCTGGACCATATGCTCAATTCTACTGAAATTACATTTATTTCATAAGTGGTTTTCTTCTCAGATATTTGTTCCCATCCACAAAGAAATACATTGGTGCTTGGCAGTTATTAACAAGGTAGATCAGAAGTTACAGTATCTTGATTCACTCAAAGGAAGGGATACCCAAGTGATGAGAATATTGGTACGTTTTGTTGTCATCTTTTGTTTGGCTGTTGATAAAAATATTGATGCATGGTGCTTGCCCTCATCAACATCTGTTTGATTTTATTTTTTTTGTGGTAAGCGGGTGTGGGACATTTACATTTTTTTTATAAAACTAAAAGTTTTGCTATTAGTCGATATGTTGTAATTTTCTGCTACTCTTTACTGAACCATCTATATGAATTGTCTGGGTTTTAAAAGTGTATAAAATCATCTTGTCAGCCTTGCCAGAACTTGGAAAGAATTTCCCTCCTTGCATTCTTGATGTGGTATGCAATATGCACATAAAATTATTGAATCCAAGGCCATTCTCTACTTATAAACATTTTTGTCGTCATGCTGTCTGAGCAACCATTTCATCAATCATCTACCATAAATTAACTCTTCATTGTAAAAAATGTTAATTGGTGGCAAGTGATATTTAAAATAATTGTCTAGAAGTTTGAAGGCCAAAAAGTAGTGCAGACAGTACACTTCTCATTTCTTACATAGTCGAACTTAATGATTTCCCAACCAACCCTTTGAACACTATGGCTACCAGGCCGTCTTGCTTGTCAGAACTTTGATTTTAACCTCATAGTTAGAAGCTCCAATGGATTGACTATATTCCCTTTGTTCATTTAGCTGATCAATCTGATACTATTGTTTATTTGCCTCATTTTGACGGACAAAAGAAAGCCGGAAGGTACTAGGGTCACCTGTTAGTTTATTCATCTTTTTCTTTTTCCTTTTCTCGATTCTTATGGCAGGCCCTCAAAATGGTAGGAAAAGTAGCAAGTTCATTCAATCAATTGAGCTGCAGCTAACGTTCACTTTGTATGTTGGCAGGCTAAGTACTACGTTGATGAAGTGAAGGACAAGAGTGGAAAGGATATCGATTTGAGTTCTTGGGAATTAGAATATGTTGACAACCTTCCTGAGCAGGAGAATGGGTAGGCTAACGTGTGCATGTCTTGACACTTGCTGCAAATAATTTTTATTTTCTTTTGCGAACTCTTTATAATCAATTTTTCTGATCAATTATAATAGGTATGACTGCGGCGTTTTCATGGTTAAATATGCTGACTTTTATAGCAGGAATGTTGGGCTCTGTTTCAAACAGGTAAAGCGCATAGAGATGCTTCTGTTGCTAATTCATATTTATTTGACTGCACATGCATTCAAACCATTAGAATGGGAAATCATAGCCAATAATTCTAGGGGGGAAATCTCGGTACTGGCTCCTCCTGTTTTATTGCTCTTTCCTCTCCTAGTAGTATGCCATAGAATGATGAGCTGTTGCATAGATTTCCATGAAAAACTTGCACTACCAACCATTCCTCGTTGTGCTGAACAACTTTTAATTAGTATGATTCAACCCTGTTTTTATTGTCAATGCAGAAACACATGCCATATTTTCGATCGAGAACAGCGAAGGAGATCCTAAATTTGAGAGCAGACTGATTGTGTCTACGAAGGTAGCTTTTGACATGCTGTAGTACCAATTAAGAGAGCGATTAGCAACTAATAGATGTCATCAGGAAGTAGGTGTGCCAATCAATGTGTACATTTTATTCATATAACGTTAATGCCAGTCACGTGCCAGCTTCGTATTTTTTGAATGATTTGAGAGTTGTCTGGGCGAGGTGAGTCCTGTAAGTCGAGGCTTATCAGAGCACGATGCAGAGAGTTTCAGAAGCTTTCGGTATAACCTGAACACAAGTCCTAGACTGCAAGTTTCCTTTTGGTCCTTGTATCTTAGCCATTTGCCTTTTGTCTGTGATTTAAGTTAGTTTAACAATTGTAAGACAAGTTTTCTAAGGAATATCAAAGTTTCATCTGTTTGGGCCAATATTTTGGCAGTAGACTATATCTACTATTTGCTGGCTTTAATACTTACATGTATTTAGTACAATTAGTATCTCGACAAGGCAAGGCACCTTCGGGTGGGACTCCGGGTCCATCAGCAGTGATCGAAATCTCCTCAGGTGGTTAAAACTGTAGGACCAGCAAAAGTAAACGCTCTTAATCATTTAAGCTCTGAGTCGTTTGCAAAACTCTTTTGACATGTCCACATTTTGGCTACTCTGATTTAGCGTGTGAGATCTATATCGGAATTGCATGCTTACAATGAAAAACAAAAACGAAATAAGATGATAGTGAGGATGGAGTAATGAACATTCTATTTTCATTTTTTCTTTACTAGAAAATATTACACTGTGCAATCAAATCTCCAGACAACCTTACACAACGGCCACAACCCACCATTACACAGCGGCCGAAATCCACAACCCATTGAAACTTGGCAAGAACATCGACCGACTTACCAAAGAATTACAAATGAGAACACAAATTACTGGCAGATAGACACGAACTCTCCCCATTCCCGTGATTCGAGCCACAAGTCTGGATGTGAACACTCAGGAGTCTGCAACGCCTCAGATCTTCTCCCACAGGCTCCTTCTTTGTAACTGTACCAGGACAGTAACATGACGGTTAACAAGGACGGAGTTTACTATGAATCCTTTCCACCAGGGGCGCGGTTAAAAAATGAAAATGAACATATATGAGAGTTCGGATTACAATACAAGATATAGTGCCACCATTAGCGCAGCGAACAGAGTGCCTGCCTTAACGAGGTACTCTCTTCCGACTTAGTATTTCCTGTTCTTTTAGTCTATGCTGGAATCTTGCAAGGCGGGCTTGAAGGCTAACCAGACCGGCTGCCTTGCGGGAAAGAACAAAGCTCAACTGGGTCACATAGTTGTCTATGAGGCTGCCCGGTTGGTCCACTTCTGCCAACAGTTTCATTTCCTGGCAACCAAACACGGATGAGCACCATGTGAAAAGATGAAAGAAATAGTCATTCAAAATTCATACACATACAAAATCAAACAATACTTATAACGGAGAGTTTTGGATATTATGTACGACCGACAGTAGCAAATTAAAACTTCTTTAAAAGGGAAAGACCAAAATTTTCACTTACTTCGCGAACAATTTCCATTGTATCCTCAATTTCTTTTCTATGGGCAGCAATTAGGGCCTCTTCTTCCTAGAACAGTCCAAAGAGATCAAAATATTAGGTAAAGGTGCAGGAGACTTGAAAAAGAACCACCTAATTAAATGACAAGCCACGAGTACCAACCATGAGAATAGCATTGATATTCCCATCAGGAAGTTCAGGTTCAGATTGTCTGGACCCAGCATTGCTTGCGTTATAGGTTCCTGTACTTTGCTGCTTAGAGCTTGTAGTGGAAAGATCCGAACCACCTTTTTTCACCCAGTTACCCAACCTCTCTGATTTTTCATCCTTGGTTACTTTCCTACGAGGTGGTGACGCCTTTTGTACTTTCTCTTCTGTATCAACCAAGTTTTGGGAATAATAGGGCATCTTCTGACTGTAATTATCACCGTAAGAATTATTCATTTCAAATCTCTCCCTGTCCATTGAACCAGAAGCCATCCGACTTTCTTCCCGGACATTGATGGGATTACTTGATGATGACTTTGCAGGCTCCTTGTCAAACTCTGGAGTAGGAGGGATATATGAGACACTTTCTTTCTCCATGGCTCTTCTACCTATATCAGCTACTTTAACTTCTTGATGTTGCTCACGGACATTCTCTACCTCAGCAGAAACCAGTGTAGAAGATGCCGATGAGACATCCTTATTAGCTGGTGGTAATGAATTTACAGCTTGATCCTTTCTAGCATTGCCACCTTTTGAAAGACTTTTCACCCTGTTCGTTTAAAATTAATCTGTTAGTTTTTTTTGAAAATCAAATTAATCTTTTAGTTTGGAACATAAATGTAATCATTAAGCACTAGCAAAGTAATTAGGGTTAATTAAGTTGAAAATAGAATTAGGCATACCGATCTGCATATCTCAAAGTATTAAGTGTATGCTCGCATGACCCTGCATTTGGAGAAATGCAAGATATCATAACAGTCCTCGAATTTCCAACAAAGGAGTCACGGAGCACTTCCGTGAGTTTGCTTCCACGGAAAGGTATATGGATCTGGTCATTGTCCAGGGCACGAATGCACTCCTTTAGTGCCAAAAGGCTCTTGTTAATTTCTGCTCCTTCAATTCTGCAATAACCCATTTTAATTCAAGAAAATGCGCAGTTGTCAGTAAATCATCATGCCAGTATAAGACTTGCATTACAATGAATGCGAAAAATAATGGTTAATTTCTATAGCCTAAGAAGCATTATCCTCATGGAAGAGGTACAGCCCAAAACAAGATAAAGCGGAAGATTACCTTGTTTGTCGGTCATTATCAGTGGTGTCCGCACCTCTTTCACTACCAGCAAGATCAATAAAAGAGATCTTTCCCACAACCTTCCCACTTCTAGATTCATTTACATCAATGTTTCGCCTGGAATCTTTTACCTCACTGTGCTTTTTAACTACAAGTTGTAAAATAGCATGAGACCTAGAAGACTCCTCATTAGCACCAGTCGACCCAGTACTTCTAGCAGCATTCCCCCTCTCAATAAATTCTTTAACAATTTGTACATCTGAAACTTCAAATTCTTGAAGTCCAACAATGCAAACCTGTTGTCGTCCATCTTCTCTCATGCATAGTTTCCTATTACAAAGAAATGAAGTCATTCATGTCATAACGTAGTTATATAATTACACCACCAAGAACCAAAATTCACATCTACAATAAACATGTATTATATTATGTATATCTAAAAGGCATGCAAAGAAATGTGTTGCAAATAATAGAAGAAGATGCTCAATGCATGTCAAACCCAGAATTGCACATAATCATCCATAGAATCTGACTTGCACCCAGTCTTACACTCATCTAGACAATTATAGTGCACTAACAAAGCCTATTCCCCAAGGTATCTACAAGCCTATACCTCCTCTAAAGAGGAGATCTCGAGTTCAAATGTAGTAGCAATTTAAACTTAAAAATTAAAAAGAAACAAATGAAACAGTGATCTTAAATATGTTCATAACATTAAAATAAAAGAACCAATGAAGCAAAGAGATATACTTCCTATCACTGAGAAGATCAAAGAGCTTTCCGCCATAAATCTCAAAATAGCTAAGCCACAATTTGAATCTCTGGTTACGGTAAACTGGCTGATGTAACAATCTGACAAGGTCTTCTGCAGCTCTGATAGGTAACGGTTGCATTGTGAATGTCTTACCACTACCTATAATTCAAATCTCATTAGTACTTTAATAATGCAGACATTTAGCTTTGTTGAAAAGGATCACATAGCAACAAGTAAAACCACTAATATAATGTCTCAGATCTAAACTCCAGTTTCCTTGCTCCTTTTTCTTTTATTGTTCCTTTACAAAACAAAATGAGTAGAGCTAATAAGCATGAACGCCTGAATTTTGTCCAAAGGTAACTTTGTGAAAGTATATAAAGCTAAAGGAAGGAGGACCAACTTAGCACTCGAACTCAGTCTAGGAAGGAATTTAATATGCTTTTAGAATTATAATTATTTAAGTACATATCACAAGGCCAGTATAATTAATAACTCTACCAATGAAAAGAGACAGCATTTTGATGACTGTCTAATACACATATGGACAAAGAATAAAGTATAAACTAGTATAAACTGATAATCACGTATTGTACTAAAGGGAAGACCATATGAACCACCTACCTGTTTGACCATATGCAAAACACGTAGCCTTTGTTCGCTCAAAAATTATGGGAATAATTGGTTCTACAGTAGCCCGATATACCTATTCCGGAAAGAATATAAAATCATCAAACTTTTTCTATCCAACTGAGAAACACTCATAGAGGAAACAAGCACACAAGGACCATGCCCAAACATTAAAGGAATATTAGGTCAACGTATGCAGTCTACATAAAAAATTTCAGTCTACCGAAAAACAGTTACCTCATCATTTGAAACTTGCTCGTTCAGTACAGCATCAAAACAAAATTCATGCTTCTCCACGTATGCAGTCAAGTCCACCTATCATATGAGAACAAAAGGTAAAACCCAAAGAAAATATGTGAGGAAAGAGACTTCAATCCCAAAACAAAATTCAGCTAAAAGTTAAGTAGCATCTGGTGCCTCGTGAATGATGAGAACAAACCTTTAGTTTGGGTTCATGGACTGTCAAATAAGCATTGTCATACACGGTTACAATATCCTCCTCCTTCCGTGAAAGCTCCTTCTTGTTCAAAGGTCTTTTGCGTACCTAATATAACCATTAGAACACAAATCTTTCAAAATTTCCATGAAAAGTAATACACATGTCATCCATCATATGCCTCCAAATCACACAACATGAGAAGATGCCAAAAACGATATATGAAACAAAGCATTCACACAGTATAAGGAACCAAGTCATCAAAAATTTGATATAACCACACATCCAACAACGCACAAGCACAACATTCAGGTGCCAATTGAACCACATACCACAACTTTAATCTTAGCCACATTATTTTCCTTTGTGCTCTCCTTTTCACTCTGGGCAAATGGAATTGATGGATCTGGATCAGGTAGCACTCTTTGCTGCCTATTACTTGTCAAATTCAACTCATCCTCAAATGCTTTACCACCAGGCATAAATGGTGACGGCTCAAAGGGTTCAGAGATGACATGCTGCACATGTTAACAATACCGCACTTTATTAACAAAGAAAGGAACGGAAATGGTGATGGTGCAAAGGGTTCAGAGATGGCATGCTACACATGTAAACGATACCGCACTTTATTAACAAAGAAAGAAACAGAACAAGAAACAACAGAAATTATAGTCCTTTTCTTCCTATGGCCCTATAGCTGTAATCTTTGAGCTGCAAAGGGTTCAGAGATGGCATGCTACACATGTAAACGATACCACACTTTATTAACAAAGAAAGAAACAGAA